TAGACGGACGCGATGTGTACACGCTTAACCGGGAGTGAAACAGCAATAGGTTTTTTTATTTCATTGGGAGTCTATCAGACTCCTGTCAGTGCTTAAGGGTTAATATTGATGATTGACTTGAATAAATATGTTTCAAATCAATTAATTGACGGCTGATTCGAGCAAACTCAACCAAAGGATGTTTTATCGACCATTGCTTCCAACAAATTCAATGAAAGACCTTTCAATTGACCATTAATTTGAGCGAAAGGAATCAAAGATCGTTCAAATCAGTAAATTGACGACTGGTGTTTCAATTCAACTAGTTGACGACTAATTTGAGCAAACTTAATCAAAGAATGTTTCATTGACCATTGGTTTCAATAAATTCAATTAAAGACCTATCAGTTGATGATTGATCTGAGCAAAGGGAATCAAATATTGTTCAACTGATAATTGAACTTAGCGAATTTAATTAAAGATTGTTTATTTGACGATTGATATGGGCAAACTCAATCGATTCAGGCGAAGAATGTTTGATCATATAAGGTTGCAATTGGTTGGTAATATTCATATCCAGAAGTGGAAGATGCCGATGTTTGAGAAGGGTTAAATAGAGCACACTTATGAGTACTGGTCATATAAATTGTCATTGAACAATTTTCGCGAATTGTATTTGCTCATATCATTTGTCAAATCGGCTTTTGATTAAACTAGCTAAAAAAGTTCAATTGTCAATTAAACGACCTTTATTTAAATTCGCTAAGTTCAATTATTAATTGAACGATTTTTAATGGTCTTAATTGAATTCACTGAAATCAATCGTTAATCAAATTGTCTTCGATTGTATTTATTGAAATTAATTGTTCATTGAACGGTCTCCGCTTAAATGGTTCATATTAACCGTATCACTTAAACACGACAATTAATTAAAAAGTAATTAATTATTCGCCTGTTATTATGTCATATCGATGACTGAGAAGAGATTATCTCGTGTGTGAGTGTGTGAAACCGCGAGAAATAAAACACTGCTTTGGAAATCCTCTTTGCTTTAAACGATCGAATTTTTTCTGTACTCTGGTTATGTAAGATTTCAAACAGCCTTGTAAGAAACTGCTTTGGAAATTCTCTTGACTGTGAACAATCGAACTTCTTCTGCATTTTTTAGCTTTTTAAGATTTTAAATAATAGTATAAAGAAAGGCTTTTTTTACCGAATTCAGGCAAATGTAAGATAAGAGGCCAAAAGAGCTCCCGATAGAGACAAATGTGTGTAAATTTCACAGCAACTTTGAATATATTACACTACAAAATTCAGCAACATTAAATCCCTTATTGATTGCACTCATATTTATTACATAGAAATAGAAATACGACGAAAATAGAAATACGGAAGAAATATAAATGAAATTAACCAAAATTTGCCCCAAACAACATGTCATGCTAAATGTAACATGAAAATCTGAGTGTAACTTTTCTTAAATTTACTACTGCAACAAAATAATAAAAAATTTACATTACTATATGATACAAAATGCAAAAATCAATTCAGTACGGTATATACTAACTTCATAAATATAATTAAGAGAATAATACAGTTTTCCCATTATGCATTGTCTCATGTCCTGAAGATTTTTATAATCATGAAAGTTAATGCGGAACTTTGTATGTTGAATGTTGGTGTAAATAATAAAATTACGGAGGATAATATCGTTTGACAGTGTAAACACACATGCCATGTGCATTTATATATTTTTCCGTCTTTGTAGCGTACGCAATGAATCACACTTTCCACTTTTCTAATTCGGACATGAATCCTAACTGTTATGTCTTAATTAATCGAATCCTAACTGTTATGTCTTAACGCGCACGCTATAAAGCTCGAGAAATGTTCGACGTGTGCATTTATACTGTCAAACGGTATTGCTCTCTCATAATTTAATTAGATTCGCACTATTATCCAGGACATTGCCTTGTATTTCTCTTAGTGATTATATTCTTTGGTTGTACTCCAAACGAAGCTTTCTGTACATAGATCGGTGCCTCTTAACTGACTTTAGAAAAAGGATGTTCTCAGTTTGTTCTGTATGTATATGCGTTTGTTTGTTTGTATATTCCCTTAAGAACCATTAGAGATACTGACATAAAAGTTTCCTGTAGTCTGTTTAGTACGTTATTTATGAAGCGCTTATACAGATCAATGGCATCACCTGTGTTTGCTCGTGTGACTTGGAAATTGAGTGATTCCGTTATTTCTTTGAGCAGTCTGAGAACATTCAAAGATTTACTATTGCAACAAAATTTTAAAGCAAAATTTTCATTTTTAATTGATTTGAAAAAAAACTTTTCCAATTGATTTGAGAAAAAATTTTAATAACTAAAAAATACGAAAAACTTGAAACAAACCGCTTTCAAAACTTCAAAAGCTCTAAGAAGTATAAAAAATAATTTTGACTCAACATTTCTACAACACTATTCTAACATTTTAATCATATTAGAAATCGGCGCGGAAAAGACAGGTCAGGTAGACTAACTAATTGTATAACTAAAAGGAGAAAAATAATAGAAAAAGGAAAAGTACGATTATTGACTCAATCGGTCAAGTTTCGCGCCGACTTCTAATATCGTTAGGATTTTAGAATAAGATTGCAGATACATAGGAATATTGAGTGAAAATGATTTCACCTTTTGGAACCTTTGAGGTTTTTGAAGGCGGCTTACTTTTGTTAAAGAAGCCTTCAACGAGTCAAGAGAAAACAATTCTAAGTCCGCTGAAGTACTGACACCCGAAAATGGCTATTTCTGCAGATACGAGATATCGGATTCTTGGCCATCGATATGCATATTGCGCCAAAGGGGGAAATGCTTCCCGCAAATAAACAAATGGGACAATTACTCGATCGAGTTGTCGCGTGTGCTTGGTGATTCCGAGTGGAATTTTATCCACTATTGCGTAATAACACTCGTGATTCGCGATTAACGGACGGTTGCGGGGACGCGATTTCACTGACAACGGCATCGAATGACTGTCGTCGTATACATCGGCTAATGGCACGGTGCTCACGCTAACTCGAGAAACAAATGTGCCCGCGTCCGCGAAACTCGCCACGGACGCTTTTAGCGTCATCAGTTCCGCTGCGGCCGCGAACGGCCCGCCAAAGTCGGCGCGCGATCGGTATATTCGTAGCGAAGTCCCGATTCCGATTCGTAAGTCAATATTTGTGTTCGCCGGCTACGGCGCGCGAAGATTGATGGACCGTAAAACACGTCGCACGTGCGTTACCAAAAGGAAGAGTTTGGCAACTGGGAGGATGTTGGGAGACACGTTTCTCTCGCCGGCGAGAACGTGTCGGGAGATACACGGATTTCTTCTAACGCTCGAGTGAGCGACTATCGCGAACACGATGGAGGAACGGTGTCGTGATTCAAAGTGTCCGCGTTTCGTCACAAGCGTTTCCACATTTCGCCCGTCTTCTCCGCAATCGCAGATCTGTTTGTTTCAGCTCAACTAGTTTGCACTTTCCTCTACTTCTCTAGAATGAGAAACAATATTATCTAAAGAAATATATTCCTGAGGAGAATCTTTTTATATATGGCCTTGAGAAAATTTGTCTAAACCCTCTCTGTTCCCCAAAAAAAGAAGAATATTCTAAGCACGATATTATTCCTCTTCATTAAAGAATCAGAGTGAAATATAAATATTATTATTGATGAGTAAATTTACTTAATAATAATATTATATTTATTTATATTTTTCTACAATATTTTACTCTTTCGGTCAAAGTTCCCATGCGGGAACTTGATTTAGAAAAAAAAAAGATTTGGAAAATAAAGAATATTCGGTGGACACTAATAAGGTTTATTTGAATCTAAATTCTTTTGTTTAAATATTAGAATAAACAGTAGCTTTCATAAGAAGTAACGGTTTTATACTCGAATCACACTAGCGATTTGTGATTGCGTTTGCGTTTATCTATAATTGTCTCTCGACCAATCAGAAAAGATCTGCTGGCGATTGCGTTGGTGATTCTCGTTTAGCTGTCCGTCTATTTTTTACAATCGTAAAATGCAAATGCAATCAATTATGCCGCCGAAAAATTCTGAAGTATTTACAAAAGATATGGAATTTAAGCTAATTGATTTAGTAGAGTGTAGACCTATCCTGTGGGATAGCACCTCTGAGCTCTACAAAAGAGCTGATTTAAAAGATGTAATTTGGGAAGATGTAGCTTGTTCTTTCCAATTCTATAACGTTTTCTTCACATATATTTAGGTTATAAAACGTATCTACATCTAGCATCAAATCGCTCGCTTGCAGTTGCTAGTGTGATTGAACAACATCTAATCTGCGCAAACGCAGTCGCCAATCGCTAGGGTGATTTGAAAATTAATCGTGTGTTTTCTCATGTAAAAAAAAATTTTTTTCAACGTAAAGATATAGTGCAAGTGAATACGTTATTAGTACACATCAAAGAAGTACTAATTAGTACACATCAAAGAAATACTTATTAGTACACATCAAAGAAATACTTATTTTTTAGAGATTTTTCTCTCAATGTAAGATATAGGATCATAAGAAACGACAACTTACAACTAGAGTTCTTCTCTTAGGTATAATTAATATCTTTCCTTTTGATTTTAAGAAAAATCTCCTTAAGACCACATATAAGAGGACTCCGCCGAAAATGAGATTATATTCTTTTCGCGTGATATAATCCAGCATCGAAGAAAAAATAAGTCAAGTTCCAGTGCAGCACAAGTTCAGCTAAGAACGACAAGCCTCGTATCATCGCCCTCGCTTGTTTCTCTCACAAAAGAATATTTCAAAGGCATTCGACGCTGATTGTACCCCCTTCAGTTATTGTGGAACGTTGTCAGCTCAAATTACATATATCTCCTTTGGCCCATTCTCTAATCGGTTTATCACATTTCCGCTATTTCGGCGCGCACACGCAGACAATCTCTCCCCGAGTTGCGACCACACGAGCGTCACGTGTTCCTGGCGGTGTTCGGGGCGGGCGGCGGAAAGTCGACGATGTGAAACCGCTGGTGTCGCCGCAGAAGTGGCCGTATCTATTCCTCAAGGACCTCACTCGGCCAGAGAGAAGTCATTGGTCAACGTGACGTCAGCGTCGCCCACGAGATACTTCTGGATGTGGATCAAACTCGTGTCAGTGCCTAGAAATCGCAAGACGAATAGACATGTCGCTCTTTTTCCCTGCGCGTCTCTTTTGCTCTTTGATCTATCTATCTATCCACTTACCTGTCTCCCTCTCTCTTTCCCCCACGTTAGCGCAAAATAGTCCGGTTGCCATGCAACTATCGTCGATCCTCTCCGAGTGTTTTCGCCAAACGCGCTCTCTCCTAATCGCGAACGGCGTTCAATCTTCCGAATGTTGCGTCCACTGACGTGCCGTTGATTCGGCCGCTTAATTGGGCCTGACGTGCCGCCACTTCATTCAGTCCACCGATCACTTTATTACGCTCGCAGAAGCCGGAGCTACCCGCAGACGAAGTCGACGATCGTGCGCTTTTCTTGATGGCCAGGCGAAGTCGACATTTTCCATCGCGCAACAATGATTAGCATGAGTCATCGACCCGCCTTGTGGTGGTGGCTAAGTGCGCGTTGCGTCCTCACGCGCACACACACACACACACATGCGCGCGCGTGCGCGCGAGTCCTTTATTATTATATCCGTCTCTCTGCGTGCACAGGCAACTCTCGCGGAATACAGCAATAACATAATGATTCGGCCGATTCCCGTTCCCGCGTTTTTTCCGCCCAGAATTACAAGACGCTTTTCAATGGATCCTCTGAATAGCGATAATTTTTATTTTCTCACGATTCAAGAAGCTCCTGCGCAGTTATATGCGTATATTGTGCGGATCGTGCTGTGTCGCGTGCTGTACCTCTGACAGCCGTCGTGCACACACACACACACACACACACGCATACCTGTGTGTCCGTTTATTAAGATTGTTTCACATCGAGAAAGTAGCAATTAACAATAGTTAATAGCAAAGAACTAGTAACGAAAATATTTTTAGCAAAACTATGTTCTCCAGAAAACAATTCATTGAATATTTCTGAACAGAAAATGCTTTTAACAGTGTGGAAAACAGAAACACCGACAGTGTCAGAAACATTACTTATCACGATTAGACTGCTGATAACAATGTTATTGGCAAAAATGATACACTTAAATATTTTCAACAAACTTGAGAAATTTTAAATGGTTAATAACATTATTATCAACAAATATATGCTATGCATAAATTTGGTCATTTTTGTAGTACGATCAGTCAACTCAAGATAAAACCTTTGTTATTAACAATAAATATAACAATAAATATTAACAATGTCATTAATACATATCTAGTTCAATTTTTCGCTAATAACATTTATTATCTCAATCTCTTTTGACCTAGACTGCTAGGTGACAATTACGTCTCTGACGATATCAGTGATAAAGCTATCAACGTGTTATTGAAATAAGTAATTTCTGTCAACGGCACTTATTTTCCGTAAAATATTGAGAACAGATATTATGAAAACTTTTTAGTGCAAAATGGCGAAGTTAATAGCAAAATGTGATGAACTTGTGTTGTATAACTTGTTGGAAACTGTTGTTTTCAGCAATTTTATGTGAGACAATTTTACATTTGGTCAGTAATGAAACTATAAGCGTGTTATGGAAATAAGTAACTTCTGTCAACGGCATTTATTTTCCGTAAAATGTTGAGAACAGATATTATGAAAACTTTTTAGTGCAAAATGGCGAAGTTAATAGCAAAATGTGATGAACTTGTGTTGTATAACTTGTTGGAAACTGTTGTTTTCAGCAATTTTATGTGAGACAATTTTACATTTGGTCAGTAATGAAACTATCAGCGTGTTATGGAAATAAGTAACTTCTGTCAACGGCATTTATTTTCCGTAAAATGTTGAGAACAGATATTATGAAAACTTTTTAGTGCAAAATGGCGAAATTAATAGCAAAATGTGATGAACTTGTGTTGTATAACTTGTTGGAAACTGTTGTTTTCAGCAATTTTATGTGAGACAATCTTACATTTGGTCAGTAACACTGTCAGGAACACACATGTTGTTAGCAATGATGGTACTGCTGATGTAAACCGACCTTTATGTACGGCGTGATGACTGTACGCACACGCACGCGCGCGTACACACACGCATGGCACACAATTACCCACGAGACAGGCGAAAAATATACAGGCGCGCGTGTAGCTAATCGACGGTTCCCAGGTAGCGCGAAGGTTTTGCCCGGTGTTTTCAGGCTCCCGTGCGGCGATCCCACGGCGACTTCCGGTTCCGCGCGGCGACTTATCCGCTTCCCGTTGCCACGACAATTTTCCGCGGGTCCCGGCGTGTCGGCGCTAAAACAAGAAGGAGAAGAGAGGCGGAAATAGGCGGAAAAAAAAAGTAACGACGTGCTATCCACGCTGTCACGGTTCGCGCTTCCTCCGAGGAGATACCCGCAACGCTCAAGAGTTTCTCCGGCCGTTGTTTTATTAATTATGCAGGCCGCATTAATTAATCCCTGATGAAATCTCGTCGCGTTATGAATTATGAATGGACGCGCGATCTGAGTTTTCGCGAGAAGGGGAGAGAGAAAGAGAGAGAGAGAGAGAGGGGGAAGGAGAGAATGAGAGGAGGAGAGGCAAAAGGAGAGAGAGCGGGGGGCACATAATCGGACAAAAATATCTTAACGGGTGTTTGTTTAGGAGCCGTGCGTGCCGCAAACGAAGTTCGCCGACGAGGGAAGAGCGCGCGAACAGCGCCGTGGATTCGACGCAGAAATGAGACGTTACGTGTTTTTCTTTCCAGTCCGTTTATATGGCCGACATGGCGCAGGTGCTTACCTGGGGAGTCAGGATGCAGCCAGGCCTGTCCGCGTTCGTCTGACCGTCGTGCAACTCAACCTGAAACCGGAAGCGCCGCTTTCTGCCCTGTTGCCCACGAACAATGAGATCGGGAGGATTCCTGGGAGGACGTGAGCACGATCGAACTACGAGGTGTTTTATCGACAGCGCAGATCGAAAATATTCATTTCTCCGGCTTGGAAACCTACGAATTGAAACGTCACGTCCAGTTGCATAAGTTTGCGTTTAGAACAGCGTCTCCTTCTCTCCTTCGCTCTCCTTCACTTCCTGTATTGTCTAAAAACACGTCGCAGAAAGTCCGTGGCAGCTTTGTTTGTGCCTGTCGGGAAATTGCGAATTAATTCTTTCGTTTTTTTCATGGAGAGAATTTTATAATAACAATCGCTGTAAAATTTTGTAACCGGGAATTGTGGATCGCGACATTCTGCAGTAATTAGCTATCCTTTCATTTCACATAGGCTGTGTGAGAGAAAAAATATCTAAGAAATAAAAAATACTTATTCGATAGATACTAATGACATGTTTACTTGTGTACTAAATATAAAATATTTTTCAAATAATATATAATTTTTTTTAAATCTTACAGAAGAAAATGTTTGGTATTTGTGTATTTATAATCACACAGAAATAATTATTATAAATTTATGGTCAAGAAAATACTTTTTATAAAATTCTAGTACAATGTTAGTGTTGAGATAACTTTACATACATATTTTACTGCAAAAATATATGGTTGGCATTAAAAAATATATAATTATAACTTTACTTAGATCAATCATTTTTCTCAATGCAGCTTCTTCATGAAAGCAATTATTTATTGTAGTTAAGTAAAAGAATTTAGAGATCTAAGTAAATATGTTTTTATCACTTAACAAATAATTATTTTTTAGATATTTTTTCTCTCAGTATATTTACTATTTATATTCTAGGAACTCACATGAGCTGTTAAAAAATTACTAATGTTTTTGGCGAAATTTACTATACTCCTTAGCAAGAGCATCTTACTAGAAGTCTATTTCTGCACTATAATAAAATATATAAACATAATAAAATAAAAAAAAAACATTTTATAAAGAAAACTATAATATTCTCTGCATGTAATTATATAAACACGACAAACGATACTTTTGGTTTTGCCTGATCTTTTTTAAAGTTCTCTTTTGTTAATTTATACAGACAATATGAGAACCACTTAAAAGTATTATTTAGAAACATAGACGAACAAAATAAAAGGTGATTTCTTTTTTCCTAGGAATGATGGCAAAAATGAGAGAGAAATATCTTACGTTATCTTACGAGACCATGTATTATTGAGGCGGAATTATTGCGCGTGTTTAATACTTTTAATTGCAATCAACGAACGGAGTGAGGCCAAGGAGAGCGTGAAGCGCAAATATGTTGGCGCGGGAAATATCAACCGAAGTGTGAAGCAGGTTCTATAAATAGGCTCTCTGAAGTGAAGCAAGTTCTATAAAAATCCGGGAGATAACTAAATCTCCTTGCTCTCATCTCCCTTGATTTCAGTTGTAATTAATAATGGGGATCCTAGTGCCCGATTATCGACATTTCCATACGTGACACGTGGACGACGCAGCACTGCGCAGCGCCGAAACGACCGGCAAGATCTTTTCACGGTCGCTATCGTCACGTGGTCGCTCGCGTACGTGCAGCAACAGGTGTGACGCAACAGGTAATCAAACGTCAGTATCACGACTTGCTCTTCGGCGAATCCGCCAATTGTCTTTCGTGCTAGCCTGCGATTTAGGACCGCATCTCTTATACATTATTTCTCAGTGTCAGCTGAATGCGCCTCCGTGGATAATCTAATGATCACGTGCTGTGTAACATAAAGTCCCGCTTCGGCTTCAACATAAACTCTCCAAAAAAGTACAATTTATCCAAGAGGCATCCTCGCTCACTGTCATACAAGTATAATTTATGATGTAATTAATAAATCAACGAGTTATGACTCGAATAGAAGTAGAAGTCGAATTTTATTTCTTAGGCTAATATCATTTTACCTCTTAGCATAGTATGATCTTTATTTCTTGCATTGTATATATTGAGAACAAATGATTAACGATATTTGTAAAGATTCTGCACGGAGAATTTTATAGTAAAAATTATAACCATAGAATTTTATAATTGAAAAATACAGCGACATTCTGCGACAATTTATTATCCTTTCATTTCATATATGCTTTTAGGAATTGAGTATGCTGTTAAAAAATTTGCTGTGTTTCTAGCAGACTTTGGTTACACAGTAAGACAGACTTTACTGACAGTCCATTCCTGCATTACTAAAATAAAATAGCAAAATTGAAAAAAAAAATTTACATGAAAGTAGAAAAACTATGTGTGTAAAAGAGAAAGATATCTAAGAAATAAAAAGATATTTATTCTCGGTAGGTACTAATGACATATTCATAATACTTGTATTAATCTAATTTATTATTTGAAACATATAAAATATTTTCCACAAATAAGAAAATATACATTTTCTTAAGAGCTTAGCTTTTCAGGGAAACAATTGTTTATTTTAAAAGGTATCTGACGACAACGTATAAAACTCTCGTGTACGTGTAGATTAGATCGAAGTGAATAAAAAATTTCTCTATCACACACATTTTGCAGATAACAACGTAAAATTTTCAGTTATTAATTAAAGAAAATTGATAAATAATTACACGCTAAGCAATAAATGAGTTGTAATGGCGACATTTACTACGGTATGCTTATAGATTAAACTGAACCAAAAGTTTTCTACTAATTTGCAAATAACTATGTAGATTTTTGAGTCATTAACTAAAAAAATTCAAAGACAATCGCGCGTAATTATTGGCTAATCTTTAATTAATAACTTAGAAATGCGCAAATGGTTCTTTGCAAAATGGTAGAGGATTTTTTGTTCAGTTTAATCTAACCTAGAAGTCCACAACAGCAGGTGTCGCTATCATAGCTCATTCACCGTATAAGTGCGTGACTACTTATCAATTTTCTATACTTAATAATTCAAAATTTCATGTGTTTGTTTGCAAAATGGTAGAAGAATTTTTTGTTTACTTTGATCTAATCTACACGTACATGAGAGTTTTATACGTTACCGTTAGATACTCTTAAACTTAAACGAAAGAATTTATATTCAGGTAAACATATTATTAGTACTCACCCCGAATAAATATTTCTTACACGCAGAAAATACTAAAGATATCACTTGCCTAAATATAGTTACCATAACAAAATATTAATGTTATTTTTCGCCTATGTCTACACGGAAAAAAGATTTGGTTAAATTAACCAAATATCTCTCTAAACGATCCAGAAATTCTGATTGAAGTACCCGAATTCTGTTAAATTAACAAGATTTTTGGCAGACTAACCAAATATGTCTGGTTATTTAACCAAACATATTTGGTTAGTCTGTCAAAAATTTTGTTAAACAGAATTCGGGTTACTTCAATCGGAATTTCTGAATCGTTCATATTCAACCAGATATTTGGTTAATTCAATAAAATCTTTTTTTTCCGTGTACAAGATGGCTGTAGTATTCATAGTACTCTGGAAGTTGTACACTAACCTTCTTTACTGCCTATCCATGTGTTTGAGCAATACTCTCAGTGCTGTGCAACCAATTCTACGGATCTCCCAACCACAGTATTCGTTCTACAGACTACAACAGAGAGGCAACAATGTTCCTCTGGCTTGAGACAACTATATACACGAGGATGTATCAACTCAACTAATTATATATCATGAGAACTATATCATGAGAAGTTGTAAGAACTGTATAGATGGATATAATAACAGCAACTTTTAATGCCGTATCTATTTCACTTGAGATCACATAAATGATGATTATCTCTAGCTACAGAATATATGGATATAGTAACCATAGTAGTTTTCTCTCTCTCGTGTATTTAACAGATATTTTTTTTCTCTCAGCGCGCAAACTATCATACTTTTACCTTGGCCCGACCGATCCCGTTGATATGTCGAGGCGAACGTGAAGAATCCTCGCGGCTGTTTTTCCCCGCGGGGAGGTGCCACGAGCGATGATGAAGAGCGCGCATTTACCCGTCTGTGCCTTGGCCGCGCGACAGGTGGTGTGTGACACGACTTAAGCCGCGTCGCGAATCTGCCTGAGGACCTTGACGCGGCTTTTTTTCCCGGACATTTTCTTCCTCTGCCTTTCGCAGAGTCCGTTTCCGGTTGGTATCCCGTCCCCGTTACGCTCTTCTCATCCGCTGTCGCGTCCTCTCGTTCTCTCTCTCCTTCTCTTCGTCCTGTCGCCGTGGCCACGGCGCGACGAAGCGGGCATTTCGCTCGACAAATGTGCCTCGCCGTGACTCTCTCGACGACGCTTTGCGGTACGTTCTTGCACAGGAGGAGGTCGTTGCTCGTTGCCAAGCGGTTGCTCGCCACGTGTACGCGCGGCGCCTCCGCGGCTCGCGGGAAATAAAAGGAACAGGGGCGAACTGGGCTGGTAATAGTCGCGCGAAGAGGAATGTCAGCTCGTCGCCGACGTTGCGACACGTCAACGACGAGGAGGACGCGCGATCGCAAGAAGCTCGGGGGAAAGCGATCCCTCGAAATTAAAAACACCAAGGCACCTTGGAGCTCCATTTGGCTCGGTGGTCACGGATTAGCCGGGGCGAGTCGATAAATCATCGCGAGCGTTGGGAGAAAGAAGTCCCCTCTTCGCTATGAATCTTCCCGTAAATGCCGATAAAGACGTCAGTGATTTCGCGGCTTTACTCGGGATCAATTTGCAACGATCTCTCTCTCTCTCCCTCTCTCTTTTTCTTCCTGTTTTAATCTATTTGAATCTCGATCTTGAAGCCTCGCTGTGTGGATAATTAATATCGCGCGCGTTCGAGCGAGTCGAGTGTTTCTTGAATTAGTGTTGAGCGTTAATCGATTAACACGTGCAATTTATTCCTGCATCGATTTGCTAATGTTGTCTGAAAATTATACATTGATAAGGATCTGATTGAAATATCTGTGTATTGCTTTGTCAATGTAATACATGAGATTCTCTCAATGTTCTCCCTATTTTTCAATATTCTTACAGGTCAAACAGTCTTGCACAAGCTCTTCTTCGATCATCAATTTTCGATGAATCGATTAAACTTTTAGTTGATTAAAATAATCGGCGAATTAATAATCGAAATTAATGAATCGCCTGGTATACACAGATGTCCTAGAACAACTTTCGAAGCTCTCTCCTGAAGGCATAGTACGGATTGAGGTAAACATAAAAGTTCTATACTGTTTTGTGATATTTGCAATAATTATCGATATATTAATTAAAGAAAATTTGTGAAGGATCACGCGAGATATGGTAGATGAGCTGGCGACGTCTGCCATCATGTAAATTATGTCAAACTGCACCAAAAAATCCTTTATCATTTTCCCAATAACTTTGTAGATTTTTAGTTATTAATTAAAGAAGATTAACAAATGTCGCTTGCAATAATATATTAATGTTATCTAATTAATAACTACAAAGTTATTAGGAAAATGTAGAGGACTTTTTTGTTCAGTTTGACTTATGTATAAGCATACGACGGCAGATGTCGCTACTACAGTTCATCCACCATATCTCGCGTGATCATTCACAAAATCTTTTTTAATTAATATCTTCATAATTATTGCGAATATTGCAAAATGGTATAGGACTTTTGTGTTTACTTTAATCTGTACTGTGGCTCCAGGAGAGCTTTAAAGGTTGTTCTAGGATACTCTATATGTAAGAATGAAATTTTATTTTTTAACTTATTATTATCTTTTATTTCTTGATTTAACGTTATCTGATTTCTGTTTGTTGTTTTTGGACGCATATGTTAGGAATGTTGTGATTGTGTTTGTTGTTGTGTCTGGAGATATCGAGCTTTTCCTTAGAGTCGATGTTTTCAAATATTCTAGATCTTGCGCCCTTATACTGAAGAATAATAATCTAAAAAAGATTGAAATATCTTTCAAACGTTTAGTTCAAAATTACTGCTAAGGCTTAAATAAAATTTTCTTTGACTAAAATAATCAGCAGATCAATCGTCAAAATTAATCAATTGTCATATACGTAATCACGAATCATTTAATAAATTAATTAGTTATTAATCAGTGTATAATCAGTCAGATTAAAGTTTGATTCATAATAAATTTTATGAATTACTGACATTATTTGTGTAAAGAATATAAAATTGTACATTGAAAGGGACTGAGGTTTCTCTCTTTTTTTCTTGTTCTCTCTCTCTCTCTCTCTCTCTGTTTCGCTCTTCAACTATAAGCAATCTTAAATAAATAATCGTATTAAATAAAAGGTTAAAATTAAAAAGGGTTAAATAATATTCTTGATTAATCCTAATACATGTTATAACGGATAATTTTATCGATTGATATAACTGATTATTAATCAGGGCATCGTCAGTCAAATTAAACTTTAATTTACTCTGTTCACTTAAAAATTTTACTCGATCAATGCCCAACGCTGTCCCGAACGACGGTTTAGTTCGAGCTTGAACGGCTCTTGCGCAGTCCTCGACGTTTCTTCGATACATACATACGTGTTTGACGTTTACAAACTCTGATAGCAGGCGTCGGTGGACGTCGGGTTTTAGTGCCGTGGACCCGCACGCCGGAGAAAATGATTTCCTTGGGCTTATCGCGCCGTAAGGCCGGACGCTGTGTATGACACGGGAGCTCCACGGGCCCCTTAAATCCCCCGTGAATTCTTCCAGTGCCATTTACAGAATCCAAGCCGAATAGCCGCGCGGAAAACCGGGGATCCTCGCATCTGCTGGTTCACCCTGCCACATCGCTGGAGCTCCAACGGGCGAGACTCTCCGGGATAATAATCGCTGTTCCACGCCACCTCCGACGAGGAGGAACTGCGATCGAGCGAGCCTCGCAGTGGATACGCACATGCGATC